CATTTTATTTTTATTGTATTGAATTTTAATTATTGTAAGCTGCCCAGAGACCTCTGGGTAGAGTGGGCGGCATATAAATTAATTAAATAAATAATAAAATAAATAAATAAATATGCTGCTCGGAAAATAACAGAGACATCTTTATGGAGGTCTGGCCCTCCTCTATATGCATCTGAGAGTTGTCCAACTACTCCGTACATGGTGACCTTTGGATTGGTTTACTTTGAATATGGGGTGATTTTTGTCATCTCTAATTTGTTTAATTTTATCGTCTTTTCCTTGGTTGTGAATTCCTAGTATCTCTCCCCTAAAGGTACACCTCAACATGGTAAGTGAATTTCAGTGTATCAGGGAAGCTAGAAGTAAAGTCATCAGGAGGCTAGACTTTGTTATGAGTCTGGACTCCTAGCAGGATCATCCAAGTAAGAATGATCACAGATGAGACTAGAATTCATCTATCCCTTTCAAGATTAATAGTAAGATTAGCAGGAGAAAATGGATCATTCCAATAGCGATGTGACAGAGAAACTCCTGCAGAACAGTTAGTGGGAAACAACAGTGGTAGAAGATGAGAATCTCTCACAGACAATAACAGTGACATTTCAGCTAGCTCTTGTTAGTATTTGGCAGAAGATGGCAAAAAATAAACCACTTATGAATGTTTAACACCTTGAAAGCCCTATGATGAGACAATCCAAAGTGGAACAAGAGATGATGATATAGACTCCAAGTTGGAAGGCACTCTATCCACTACTAGGGAAGAGTGAACAACAAGTACAAATAGCCCTGTGGCTACTAAATCAATTAAAGATGATGGGACATTTAGAGATGAAGAGAGAGTTCAATGCTACACAACACACATAACTGGAATATGAGAAATAGGGATCAAGGAAATTGGGTACATGTAGTACTCTAAAGAAATGGATTTTAATCCATGAAATCTCACAAAAAATCTGTTATAAAAGGGTACAACACTTTGCCTTTTCTCATACACATGAAGCAGACATGAAATCTAGCTGTACAATTCCAGTCCCCTCTTGTGTTATTCTAGAACACAAGGTCAATGGCTATTTCGTTCTCACCCATCCTAAAAGAGGAAATTAATCTTTTTTAGGGTAAAGAAAATAGGCCAAGCACCAAAACAGATCTATTCACCTACTTTCCCGTATCCTTTGTTCATGTATTTGACTAATAGGCACATTATATGCTGCACATTTACACAAAATAAGTTGAAATAAATGCAAACAACTATTGCAAATCTTGGTGAGCATATTTCTCTTAATGCATTCTATTCTCATTTGAGGTAGGATATCTTACCAAATTTGTTTCCAACCGCTTAAGAAAGCTCTTCAACAACTTATAAATGTTTTCATTTGGTGAACGTCGGCCTAACCAACAATACTAAACCTGTAGGGAACTGAAATCATTTCTCAGTTTTTAGCAGCTTGAAGAGTTTGTGATCTTTCCTTTTCTGTTTCCATCAGGGAAAGGCTCCTGTGTCCACATTCCAAACCGGCCTGTGGCATCAACTGCTTTATCAATAAGGTCATCTGGTGTCAGCCATCTCAAAAATTTGAGGAATAAATAGCTAAGGATGGCCAAAAGAACAAAAATACAACCAGTCACAGGGCCACAGTGAGAGGTAAGTAGGTCAAGCCGTCTGCCCATTGGCAATACAGTTTCACTTGCCACTCTGTCATAAACCTAAGGAAGAAAAGATATATATCTTAAGCATCTTCACAATAGTTAGGCTGCCTTATGTAATATATTTTTCAAAGATAGTCACGTTAGTCTGTTTCAGCACTTATAGTCAAAACAAAAATAAATTTTTGTGATACTTTAAACATATTATTTAGCATAAACTTGCTTCATGGTTTATATTCAATCTACGTCTTTAAACACATCTAAAATGATCTGCAATCTAGAAAAGATCACACTACAACACTTGAGGCTTCCATATGCCTCAAGGCCTTATTCTGTGTTGCTTGTTTTTTGTTATACATTATCTGATGTGTTCCTAATCTTAATACTGTTCTGGTGAGCAGTTACATAGATTCAGATATTCCTGAGGCACTTGATGAGAGTCTCAGTAAGAGCCTGAGGTCATAACTGTTCCCATGCAGTACTACTTCCATCAGTCAATCAATCAATATATCGCCCATCTGGTAAACTCTTAGATTTCAAGATTTGCTTCTATAAAGGTACATATATTTCCCATCCTACAACACATGTTGTATATAATGCAGGATAGTTTATCTTAAGTCTGTTCCGTGAAAGACACTTAGATAAAGGGAATGCTGAGAAAGTAAACAGCAAAGTAGGAAGGAGATACACAATAGCTCCCATCTGAACGACAGCAACAACTCTGTATAGTCAGCCCATGAAGGCTGCTGTGGTCAGTGTGATGGTAACTCATTCTGTATCAACACAATGCATTTAGGAACATATGCTAGAATAAGGTGCTACATAAAATATAGAACATTTATAAACCTATTTCCTCTACCATTCTGAAAAATACTTCGCTGGCTTGTGGAATTCATTAAAAAGGCCATCTAGAAAACATAAAGAACTATATCAGTTTTAGAAAATGAAAGGTCACCTACGTTTTCAGTTCTCTTTGCAACATTTCTCCAAGTGTAGAACATTTTCACTTTGCTATGTATAAGTTCAGGAGAAAGAAGTGATCCTGCCTTCAGTTGGCTAATAGCTTTTTCTACTCCATTACACAGGGATTTTACTGTAGGTTCACACAAGATTATAAGATCATCTGGTAGCACTTCAGGAATCCCACCAACTCTTGTACTCACCACCTGAGAGAGTAAGAAAATTACTGCTAAGCCTGCAGGACAATTACTAACTCCACAGTGTACAGAAATGTATGTTTCATTTAAACATGAATCACTACTAGGCATTTTAAAAATATTATCCTGCCCTTTATATGGATGGCAAACAGGACCACCCACTTTACCCTCAGAAGAAACTTGGGAGGCAGGTAAAATTGACTGTATGAATGGCCCTAGTTAATGGAATAAGCTAAAGGCTGAACAGATACTTTGTTTATGACAGAAGAGCAAAGGTAGGCAACTTATGGCTATTCAGAGGTTGTTGGATTCCACTGCCCTGAGTCTAAGATAGCACAGCAAATGGCAAGGAATGCTGGGAGCTGCAGTCCAACAGTACTGGGAGAAGCACAAGTTGTAGGCCCCTGCAGTAGATACAATCAACAGTAGATATTTGGGATCAATTCTTTTTAACTTTTTCCCCTCTCGCCTTTAAATTTCTACACCCTTTTTAGTCTCCACAAAAATGAGGACATCTCCCACCTAAAGCATTGGAGTCTTCTCTTCTTCGTTCTCTTGCTTCTCTCCATTTACCTCCCACTAAATGTACTCACATCTCTTGTTGCTGTGACTGCTTGTAAATCTGTTAGCTTCCTGTTTCTTCCTGGATTTTGCTTTCTCATCCTTATCTCCCCTTACTTCCTACATCACAAAAATTCCTACCTGTGACCTTTACTCATCCAGGTTCACTATCAGCCATCCAAATATCTTCTTCTCCCACACCTCTGCCTTTCCCCCCTCATTCCGAAAATTGCTTTGTAGAATGCCCAAACAGGGATCTTACTATGGCTATTCCTTCTACATGGAGACAGGAAGATATCTTGCTCACAATCACTGTAAAGGAAAGTTGCCACAGAAAGAATACTAATACCATTCTTCTGGGACAGTGGTTCCCAAACTCAGGCCCCCAGAAGTTCTTGAATTAAAACCTTCAAGCCTTCACCACTAGCTATGCTGGCCAGGATCTCTGAAGTTCAACAACACCGAGGACTAAGTTTGAAAACTACTGCTTTAAGAGTATGTTTGTGGCATACATATCAAACAGAGAAAGATTTAACTCAGTCTTAGCAAGTAGCCAATGGGATCTATAACTGTTTTCAGTACTTAGGACCAGATGCTACAGTTTGTCTCAAATTGGGAAGGGACTTTCCCTAGGGTCAGAGGAAAGGGAATTTGGTTAAGCCATGCCAAAAGAATGAGAGGTGGAATAATGACCAAGACTTTCGCCTTGAAGTGTTAATACTTTCACCTCTAAGTATTATTTGTCACATTCATATCCCAGGCTTCTTACAATAAGAACAAGAAAGCTTACATGACTCTTTTCCACCCCACTATAATCTCTAAACAGACGCATGAAGCAAGTTAGGCCAAGACTGCTACTAACTCAAGGTCGCCCAACCAGCTTCATGACCAAGTGAGGATTTTACTTCAACACACCAGCCAAAAAGTTCCAACTCACACATTCTATGTTACTTGCAATTTTCAATGTACATAACCCACTTTTATTTTTTAAAATACGGTGGGGCATGCCAGCCAAATAAAAATAACATGAAAGACATACTATGGTGATAAGAGACAGAATTAACCCTATTCAGGATCATCAACCAAAACTATCCTTAGAAATCAAACTTCTTGTGTTGTCTGCCTTAAATTTTTTGTCATTGTTTAGTCATTACGTTGTGTCCGACTGTTCGTGACCCCATGGATCAGACCACACCAGGCCCTCCTGTCTTCCACTGCCTCCGGAGTTGGGTCAAATTCATGTTCAATGAATTCAATGACACTGTCCAACCATCTCGTTCTCTATTGTCCCCTTCTCCTCTTGCCTTCACACTTTCCCAACATCAGAGTCTTTTCCAGGGAGTCTTCTCTTTTCATGAGATGGCCAAAGTATTGGAGCCTCAGCTTCAGGATCTGTCCTTCCAGTGAGCACTCCGGTAGATTTCCTTCAGAATGGATAGGTTTGTTCTCTTTGAAGTCCAGGGGACTCTCAAGAGTCCCCTCCAGCACCACAATTCAAAAGCATAAATTCTTCGGCAGTCAGCTTTCTTTATGGTCCAGCTCTCACTTCCACACATCGCTACTGGAAAAACCATAGCTTTGACTATGCGGACCTTTGTCGGCAAGGTAATAACTCTGCTTTTTAAGATGCTGTCTAGGTTTGTCATCGCTTTCCACCCAAGAAGCAGGCATCTTTTAATTTTGTGGCTGCTGTCACCATCAGCAGCGATCATGGAGCCCAAAAAGGTTAACTCTCTCACTGCCTCCATATCGTCCCCTTCTATTTGCCAGGAGGTGATGGGGTCAGTGGCCATGATCTTAGTTTTTTTGATGTTGAATTTCAGACCGTTTTTTGCACTCTCCTCTTTCACCCTCAGTAAAAGGTTCTTTACGTTCTCCTCACTTTCTGCCATCAGAGTGGTATCATCTAAGGTTGTTGATATTTCTTCCGGCAATCTTAATTCCGGCTTGGGATTCCTCCAGTCCAGCCTTTCACAT